GGAATGATAGTACCCAGCAGCACCTTTTCCTGATCGTTATTTACTTCCTGGATTTAGGTGGGGAGATCTCTCATCCAGCTCCTTTTTAATCTCCTCCTAATTAGCGTGTCAGTCGTGACCATGTCTTTTATAGGTCCGGTAGTATGTCCATGTAGTTTAAGATGAAAATGAGATGTATGTGTATCTTATTTTCCTAAGCGAGTACCAATTTTGTAAAGTCAGTAAGTGATTTTGTAAATTCATTGAGGCTAGTCTTGGGTTATGATGTTTTGTTATAATTCTTGTATCATCAACGTATTTGGCGGTAAATGTTATTAATTTTTACATTAAATTTCATTAAATTGCTAACTTATCCTTGTTTTTATTTCGTAGTTTTATGACTTAATTATTTATCTTAACTCGAAATAACTTAAATATTTCTCGATTTTTGGATTTGTACTATTCCAAGGGGACTAGTTGTTCGATAAAATTTATCCTCCTTCATTCCATTGTTCTGAAATACTTGAATATTATATATATTTTTTAATTATAAATTTAATTCACTGGTCTTATATTGTCTCATATTACTGAAGATCAAAAATGTATTGATGCAAATATATTGATATAAATATCCATATATTAAATTTCACTAGTCAATATTAAAGGCATGGTGGATCAAAAGCTATGCTGGTATTCCAATATTCCTCCGATGCTGAGAAATAGAATCAGAAAATATGCTGACCCTTCGTTGGGGATGCAATGGGATTATTGAAAATTTAATAAAAGTTGTATTTTATAAACCTACTCCAGTATAATATCTTCAAAATATTCTCGTTTTTTATTAGTGGACCATCTTCAGTTGATAAATATAATAGTTACTTTATTTAAATCAAGGGTTGCTCAATTATAACGAAGAGCATTTAATTTAACAACTAAGATTCACACGAGTCATATTTTATCATCATTATATTTCAAATTGAGGATTCAGGAAGTGGATAGAATAATTTTTTAAAAATGTAATAAATTTAATTTAGGGTAAGAATTAATAATATTGCTATTAAGTCATAACAAATATTAGAAATGAGAAATAAAGAATTGTAGGCCATCGAAAAGGTGTTTTCATTTTTAAGTTATAATATCGTCAATCATAACCAAATACTTTCAACCTCACTAAAAACGTTTTAAATAGTTGAACTCTAGAGCATATTTGATTGTTCCAAATCTTAATGAAAAAAAAATTGCTTTATTGCTAAATTTGTATAAAAATTGTAAAAACTGTAAACCCCAAGAATAATTAGTCAGTATAACGTCTCGGAAAAAACTCGCATATAATATAGAATTTAAGATTATTAAAATATTGCAATCAGTCAGGTCGAAGTGGAGCAAAAGACTGATAAAACTTGCTAAAGATCTTGAAGACTTGATGTCCCTTCACAGGAAAGTTGTCCTGCAATGGATCCTTGGACGCTGCGGCATCTATGGAAACGAAAGGCCAGACCAGCTGGCAAAGGAGGGGGCCTTGAGTCCGAAATTTAATTTTAAGATCAGCCTATAAAAGATAAAAACAATCAATAAAGCGATTATTAACCAAAGTTGTAACAGAGGTCATCCACTTTACGAACACAGAGATGCTATCTACGGACTAACTCGACGTTATCAGGTCTTAATCTTTCGCTTATAAACTAGACACAACAGGCTCAAAGCACACCTATTCAGTAAGTTCAAAATTGGCTCTAGTACCTTCTGCAAGTGCGGTGATAGTGTACAGAATGTGGAACATATCCTACAAACGTGCAAGGTCTACTCCCAGCAAAGCAGGGTGTTCTGGCCCTCTCCAACTGAAGTGAAAAGGAGACTATATGGAAGTCTGGAAGACCTGAGGAGGACCACCGAATTTTTCATTTTAGTTCCTGACCTAGTCATATAAGGAATGACGCAGAAGAAGAAGAAGAATGTAGAATTAACAAGACTAAATAATGCTCAACAATTAATCAGTGAAACCTATTAATACATCATTTATGTATATCGTAATGTTTTGATTAATAATAACTTGACATATGTTTAATACATATGCAAATTCTTAAATCATAAATATTTTAGAAACATCGCGGTAACCTATCATGAGAATGAAATTATAAAATTATTACTAATTATTAATAAGTTTCTATTAATACAAAAAAAAAACAACAACTATAAACAGTTATCTAAATGTAAGTAACCGCAGATTTTGAGATAATATTAAGAATATAAGAATTTTTAAATGTTCCTGATTAATTTTGTATCATATAAAATTAATGTGGTTTATGATAAATTTGTACTGAATAGAACCTCTTTATCGCTTTGAAATTAGCCTTAAAAAAAATTCATTGAATTTATTATATTTATTGTAGGAAGTTCGCGCCACTTTATATTATTTATTATTAAAAAGAAATAATTAGATGTCATGTTGAATAATAGAACGAAGAGGATAAAAGAAGAAAGCTAATTCAGCCTTAACGGATTTTCCACATTTCACTCAAAGAATTCCCTGATAAAAAAAAACTGGGATGGAAGGGGTTTCTAAATTCATTAGCCTGTAATATTTGCATGACAATGAGGTTTAATCTCTTTTCTTGATCCTCTTTTGTTTTGCTTTGGTGCTAATTTATTTATTTTATTTTTTTTATTTATTTAAATTTGCAACAATATCAGAACGGAAACTTAAGAAGCAGATATGAACACACAACAAGCATTATAACATGAACTGAATTTTCGAAAAAAAAAAAAAAACTATTCAATAAAAAGTTCTTTTAATTGAAGATCCCATTCCAGAACCTAGTCTTATCAAATCGACCGAATCGATGAAAAAGTAAGGTTGTAATCTAGGGAATTCGGATGAATAAGATAGTGATAATATATTTAAATAAAATATAATATAAGGCCTTAATATATAATATAATATATTTCAGTACTGTATGAAGGGTACCAAGTAAGACATTTTTGTATATTGGGTCCTAGGTAGCGGACGTATCTAACAGGGATATGTGGAATATAATTTGGATTTGAAAGAAAAGTGTATAATAAAAGTCATAGATGATTTGATTTAACGTTTTGTGATATATGATTAAAGAATGAGCTGGAATTTAAGCAGTATAATGTGTCATTGGGACCGATGGTATTATTTTAAGGAATAATAGCAGACAGAAAAATACAGTTAGATAGGAATTATTATGAAACTTGTAAATGAGTTAGGATCAGATAGTGAAAACATATTTAAACATATGATCTAAATTTATTGAATTTGTAAACTATTTTCTGGCGCCAGGCTCGATGAAAAGATTATTATACAAAAAAAGATTCCCATTCACAATATTCCGCGCTTCAATATGGAGGAAATAACGTAGGCCACACTCTGACAGCTGAATAGTGGAGCTTGATGTTCGGAACAAAAACTGATAATCTATAATTAAATTATTGGAATATAGAAAGAAGTTTCCCATAGGTTAGATCACAGGCGTTTTGGACTGGGTTTGAATCTGGTTTGGAACTTTTTTAAAACGCTACATTTAAACTGTCCCTGCTTATGTTTTTAGAAAAAAATCTTAAAATAAAATTGATAAGGAATTTGTTTTATTAAAGTTCTAGATTTGCGGTAAAATTATTATTTTTATTGAATAATAGTTGACCGTTGCATTATAAAGGAAGGAGATGGTCCGGAGAGGTGGTCATAAATATGGCGAGTTCTAAGTGATACTCGTAGTTGAACACACCTACCTGAAGAAGACCTGCTAAGTCGGGTCATAAACGTCGGCTTGCAATAAAATAGTTTTGCCACTATTTAGCATATTTACGACCGCCACTCCGAACCATCTCCTTCCTTTATAACTTTTATCTATTTAAGTTCTTTAAAAAAAAGTTCTATTAAATGAGAAATTAAAGGTAATCGAGATTAGATTAGAGTTAGAATTTGTCATAAATTAATTACAGATGATTCTTATGTGACGTTTTTTTTTTGAGTAGCTGAGAGTAAAAACCATCTTTTGAATCGACATTTTAGCAAAATCGTCAGAACTTTTAAACAAAAGTTTTTAAAAATAAAAGTTCTGTAAAAACCTTTATTAGAAAAGTAGAAAAGAAAAAAATTTCCAGTGGTACCTAAACTTTAAAAAAATAAAAATTTTGTTTCCGTTTCAATCCCTGTTTATGGAAGTATTACTAAGGGGACGAAATTATCTATTAAGCTAAAAAATATCTATTTATCTTTGTACAAGTTCTAAAACTGTGACACTATAAACATACAGAAAGTTATTAGGTCACTTGAAACAATATTTTTTCATAAATTGTTTAAATTTATGGTTCAAATAGATAATTTTTTGAAATTATCTAAAAGCTAAAACTTATCCATGTTTCTTGTTTTCATCACTACATAGATTAATTATTAAGTACAATATTATTTATCTTGACCTACGTTTTTTAAAAAAATAAATCAAAATGTTTTCTTAGATAAATTTAATATTTTTTTTTATATTTTGATTTTATTAACCTTTTTATTTTCAAGCAGATAAAGTTTGATTCATTTTAATGTCTGTAGAAAACTTTTATAGAAATTAAACAAGAATAAAAGAAAAGAAGATGGCCTCGTGGTCACCTTATATAGACATATTATAAGCGTGCTACCAATGTGTAGTTTCTCAAAAAGCGTTTTCATATGATTATATTTCTGTTTACATATTTACTTGATGTATTTATATTATAATACAGTTGTAAATATCTTGAATAAATAGCTAAAAAAAATATATAAAAGTTACTATATAGTTATACTAGTGAATGGAAATATAAAATTATTTTCTTTGTAAATCATTTTTTTTTTTTAGTTAATAAATTTTGGTCCATTAAAACGTTATTAGTAAACTCTGATTAACAAAATGAAAAAATAAATTCACTCAAAAAACTTTAAATTTTCTAAAAAAGAAAATAGATATTCATTTTTTCGTTTATAAACCTATAAATTACTATTGCTAATATATATCTTTTTATTACAGATTCACGAACTGACGATCCAAGCGACTGGAGAAAAATTCTAATCACTCCACTCTTATAATATCAATAAACTAAATAAATATTTAAGGTATTTCCTTTAAATTAGTGATTATCTTATTATTATCCTAAATAAAAATACAGATAATAATAATTATCTTATAGAATAAAATAATATTATTTCAAATGATAGTCGAAATATTATTTGATTGTATCTCCACAAAAATCTGTACAAAAAAATATAACAGAAACTTCAACTTTCTTTTGTAATGAGAAATATCAATTTCATAATGTAAAAGATTTACTTTTAATATTAATTGTTTTATCACTATTTGTGTATTTTAAATTATTATTGAATACATGTTATTTTATTTTCAATAAAAAATATATAATTAAATATGTTTATATGCGGTTTCCTTGAAAATAATACATTATCTGCCTGTCTACTGTATTATAGTATTTGTACTTCCATATAAATAGCCTGAGTACAAGATAAAAATTATTTTAGAATTACAAATATCCTTTTCTGTAAGAGTCAGCTGGTTCGTCTCCCATCCTTTACTTTTAATTATAAGATTAGAAAAAAAAATAGTAGGATATAAATTTATGAAAGAATTTAATAAAATGGCTTACGGGGTAAAAGGGAATTTAAAAAATGTCGCTGATTTAGGTCAGTACAGATGGGCGAAATAACTTCTAGTTGAGTCGGATTTGTTCCGGAAAATATGCGTAATAAATTATAGCACTAAGGGGGGGCTTCCATTCACAGGACCCAACAGGCAAAGGCTCTTATATTGAATCTCTTTTTTTCCTCCCTCCCCCCCATTATTGTATTCCTGATGGATGTTATGGTTCACATTATAATAAGAAATGCTAATTTTTTAGGCCCAGAAAAAAAAATTATAATTTTCAACCGCAAAAAAAACTTTTTTATTTCAGAATAAAAAAAATATTTTGTTTTATAGCCCTCCGATTCGTTATTATGCGATACTGTTATTAACTGGATTAATATCTTAAGGCGCGAAAGGAATAAAAACAGCTTCTGTTATGGTATGTACTTAAATATACTTTTATTATAACATTTTTATGTGTACATTCGCCCGTACTTACTATCGCCGTTTCAATACAATTTCTGAAATAGCTTCTCATTCATGGGCCTATTGTAAACTTTTCCTTTATACGAACCAATATAACATCGTTATGTTGGTTTTTCATGGTTCCCGGTCCCGTATTTAAGCCATTCTAGCATTATTGAAATATAGCTGGCTTATCTCAAACGTAAAATTTATAACGTATTTACAAAAAATAAAAACACATTTATTACAACGATTAAGTGTTAGGAACCATATTTTCACTGAAAAAAGTTAATATTAATAACATACTGGCCATGTCATATCTGTCCTAGGAATTGAAGGAAATTAAGCGTTCAAGCAGCCAAGAAAGCAGAATCATCAATTTAATTAAGCAAGATATACACCTCATCAGATATATGTAAATATATAAACTACATAGCCAAGATGATCTGGGATCAGCTTTGGAATATACTGAAGATGTAACATAAATGAAAAAAAACACTGAAATTTTGTAGACTTTTTCAAGAATACCCCTCTTTATAATAATATTATTATAATGCTTTATTACGCATTCTTACAGAACATGAAGCCTTTCCATTGGAGTTAAGAGCTTGGTTTTAAAGAAATATATAAATTACAAATATATTATACCCTTCAAAAATATTTAAACAAATTAAAATATAGTTAATTTTCTTCTGTTCATTATTCTTAAAATTGGTGTCTTGAGGTTTTATTATTTACATAAATTAGGACATTATTCACCAACATTTTATTTATTACGACGTTTCGACCATACTAAGTGCTATTTTCAAGTCTGAAAAATTGTAATATCATTATTAGTTAACATTTAACATTTAAAAAAAAATAGACATAATTAATTTATCTAACGATCCATGTCATGATATTATCAATACACATATATTTATACAAATCTATACAAATAAAAGTATACACTTTTTCTTATAAAAACCTTTCATAAAAAAAAAAAAAAACATTTTTTTTTGCCTCCCTAACACGGCGTTGCGTTAGTATACAATTTTGAATAATGATACCATTGAACTCACTACAAAGAGGGAAAATATGAACAATTCTCTGGCTAAAAATATGCAGGTCCGATTTTTAGTTTTTGAGATATTTTAAACCATATGCAAAAACACTTCAATTAGTCGACTCCAGCCGACATTACCCGAGCGTTACACATCGGAAAACTGACAACCCTATCTAATTTACTCTCCACAAAAAAAAAATAAATAAATAAAAAACGGGCATAAAAAAGAACAGTTTTTACAGAATTAATGTGTAAATATTTCGTAATCCAACACATAGATGGGTGAATTTTGTTCAAACCTTTGTATGAAAATGCTCAGTCGGGTAATAAGGAATGTTGGTAACGATTATTATTAGTGTCGGTAACAAATATTGGAATTCACTACAACCTATAATATTCGACAGAAGGATGACCTAGAGCCCACATGTTTAAATGAAACGAGTGACTTTAAACAATCGACTTAAAATACTATACTCACTTTTTTTTTCCAAATCAAAACTGAAAATCAGACAAAAACCAAACATATACACTTACCATATGGACATTGACCTCAGAATTTTACGATTCTGCAACAAAGACGCACTTACGAAAAGTACAATTACTTCAATCCAAAATTTTATTACTACAAAATCAGCTCCTTGGTAAGTAAACAACAATACCTTACATACCGACTTACGACAACCAATTATCGACCAACACATCCGTACTCTCTACTCCCAATTTCATCTTAAACTACACGGACATCACAACGGGCTTATCAACGACATGACCACAGCTGAAATGCACATCAGGAGCCGACTAAGAAGAAGAAATTAAGCCAAGAGAAAGGAGTGGTGCTGCTGGGTACTATTCATTCTCATGCCTAAAATGCCAATTTCCTTTACGTTAACATCATATCGGCTTATTGTCAACATTATGACAGATGTGGATAAAAATATGAAGAGTAAAAAAAATTAACTTAATTGATAATTATAATAACCATTCGTAAAACATAAATAAAAAAATATTACTGGAATAGCATCGGCCAACAACAGTGATTCAGTCACTAATTACACTCAGGGCCGGTCGCAGGATACTGTGGCTAGACTAACTCTGACTAAGCCTATTCAAACCAATCCCTCATTATTGGACTACACTGATTCCGGGTAAGGTAAGCTGCAAGGATAAAATTAATCTGGAACTGGTTCAATTCCAGCATAATTGGAAACCATTAATGAGTTTTTTTTTTATAACTAGAATAGTTACGTCATATATTGAAGTAAACAATGTTTAATCCAGGACTAATTCTAGATTATGTTGCACAACATTTTTTTCATAAGCTGTTTGTTACACAAGATTACGAGCCATTGAGTCATTGCAAAATTAAACAGTTCAGTTTCTAACACTGAGTATATACACTTTTTTTATCAAAGCCCTATTGATCAATACACCTTTTTAATAACATCTATCAGAAACTTCGATAATGGCATAATCAAAGCGCGATTTTAACATAATTTCGTTTTACGAGTTTAAACCTTGCCAAAATATTCCCCAAACGGCCAGAAATATTAATGACGTGTGGGGCAATGATAGTGTGATTGATTCGTTCAACGTGGTCTGATAATTTTTCTGAGAGAGATCTGAGCCTTTGAAGACTAAGATGGTTACGGAAGGACTTCTTTCATTGTTGGCGATGTTCTGTGAGTTTTGGTGGAATAACATCCCAGAACAACTGTTTCAGAACTGGTATAGAAATTCTCAGTTAGCAAACCTTAACAGAATTAAAATGAAAGAGCTAAAAATTCGAGTTCTTCACCCATTTAACAACCGGCAAAAAAATCTCCATAGAGCTACACTTCATATCCAAAACATGTGTATGGGTGAAGGTGTATAGTTGAAGGATAGGTGTGTTAAGAAAGGAATCTCAATAACACAAATAACACTCATAACACTCAATAACATAAACTCAATAACACTTCTTAACACACCTATCCTTCAACAACCTATGTGTTAAGAAGTGTTATTGAGTTTATGTTATTGAGTGTTATGAGTGTTATTTGTGTTATTGAGATTCCTTTCTTAACACACCTATCCTTCAACTATACACCTTATTATTATCTTCATACAGCCTACCATTCCATTACCGCTTTCAAAAAACTAAATGTCAATTGTCATCTATATATAGTACAACCTGTTTTTTGTTTCTTTATCATCATAACCTTGTTTTTACATTTATTCTTACATTTTAAAGTATTCTTTTAAAATTATTGTTTTCTTATAGAGTTATTTATACTTAATAATCTATCCCAACAATATTACACTAATGTTACCCTATTAATCTTTCAATTTCTTCACTTCTTAACCTTTGGTCCCGTTATCTGTTTATTTACAATTAAAGGTAACCTCCACTTGCTTGTTATCCACTGATATCTTATTATTATGTTATCTTATCCATATTTTAACTTTACTGTAACAATAGTTATTCAATTTTCAATCAATTTATTCGTTAACATTCATGTATTTATTTTCTTTTATCTATTTTCTTATCATGTATTTATTTTCTTTATCTTTTATTTCTGTATCTGACAACTTCTTCGTAATTTATATATACTTATATTTATTTTTTATTTTATTTTTATATTTTCAACATGTTTGTATCTTTTGTAGCCCTGAAGACGACCTGCAAAGTGGGTCGAAACGTCGGCAAAAATTAAAATTTTTTATATATTTTAATTTTTTTATTTTTTTGACCGCACCCTCGACTAATTCCTTCTCATATCAAATAATGATTTAACATTCTGTCACCGCTATGGAGGTCACCACCATACTAAGACCTATTTGGACATACGGAGCAGAACTTTGGGGTTCCGCAAAACACACACACATAAACAAAATTCGAACCACACAATCCAAAATACTTCTTAAAATCGTCAATATTCCTTGGTTTATTTCAAATCACACCATACACACAGACATGAACACACCTAAAGTAAAATCCTACATAAACAACAAGTACACAACATTTCATTCTTCTACTCTCAATCATCCAAATCCACTCGTTCTATCTCTATCTTCCTCTCTGTTACCTGGTGAGCATCGAAGACGACTAAAAAGGCAGAAGAAAATATCAAGAATACAAGAAGATAGAATAAACTCCAACACATTTGCTTAATGCGTTACAACGCAGTTTCAAATTTAATGGAAAATAGATAAATAAAAAAAAATTCTGTTTTATTTTGATTTAAAAAAAAATCATACAATATGAACTAACATTGATTTCTGGAATACCTGATGTAATCCAAC